GGCACATAGATAGTAGAGCCAGTGCGAACCTCTGCGAAGCAGAGGTGACGCACTGGTATTATGATAATAACATTCTGTTATTAATGAACAGATTGGACTTGCCCAGGATAGAGAACTGCGCTAGATTTCCATCGTCTAATCGGCAAAACAAGCAGTAGCGAGGTACTTCGAGCCATCAATTATAGTCTTTCCTAGCTAAATTCGCATAGCGGACAAAGTTTGTAAGGGAAGACATTTTTGAATCATTGCTGAAAGCATCAAGATGTTCTAATATAAGTTCTAAATTAGCTTCCAAGTCCCGTTTTCATGAAACCTTGGCATGTGTCGTAAGTTCAAATCTCTTCTGTGCCGTACAGGTTTGACAAGTGGTCTTTATTTCTTCCAATCACGGCATGATGTTTCGACGCCTTTCGTCTTCTTCAGAGGCCTGAATGGTTCTAAGCGTCATCCGTAATTCCAGATCACCAAGCGTTTCCTCCAACTCTGCTAGTTTTCGACCTTCTCACAATCTCGTTACCAAATAAAATGTCAGTGTAGAGGACATACCGGAAGACTACTGCAACTTGATAGTTTGCACCGGAAAAAGGCAGTCGCGGCAGACGAGTGAATCATACTGTAGATACACCAAGATGATCTACAGTTATAGATTACATAACGACGAACGGGAGGAAGTCACTAGTTATTGATAAACACTCTTCTTATTGTTTCTCAGGATTCTTGCTAGTAATCCAGAATGCTTTCAAAGCTTTTCTAGCCGAGATCTCTGTTTCATACGCAAGAATTTTGCACTTGACATCGAAGTCTTCTCCACCGTGCTGCGCGTCTCTATGCCTGCCGAGTGCCGAGCCCAAATTTCTGCGCCTTTTATCGGCCAAGTGTTCTTTCATACAATTACCCAAAACTCTATCCGTCTCTTATATGTATATTGCTTTGCAGTCAAGGCATTCGATTTGATAAACGACTCCCACTTTTGCACAGTCCCCAACTCTACCGTGCGGGCATACTATGCATTGCTCTGTTGTACAGTATTGGTCGTAGAGCCTATTTCGGACAAGCTGCTTTTTGATATTGTCGTTGGGGATGTTAGCTACAACAACATCATTTTGCAACTGGGCCCGAAGATGCATTGCTGAAACGCCGCGGTGATCTTATCTGAGATGAAGAGAAGGCAAAGTGGGAGCTTGTTGGCACTATAAATGCTGGCACCATTCTTAGATTGTCGACAACGAGGTAAGTGATGGTAACCACTACTGCAAGCAATTCGAGAAGCAAAATTTCGCGATTCGCAGCGTTCTTTCCCCAGAGCACATCTGCATGGCCGTCTAGTCATATTGGTAATAACTGCGCGTTTTACCGATGCAGGATGTGCAAACTTGACATTTTATAAGATGTTCTTAGAGCTTTCCTTGCGGTACCATTTTACCTTAACAATGCCATTGGATAAATTCACCTGTGCGTTGAGATATGGCAGCCAACCGTCGTTCGGTTTTTCGCGTGTGAGTCTGATGTACTGCGACTGCTGGTTCATGATTTTAAACACTTGTCTATTTCGGACTGTGTTGATGTAATGACACATCAGTCGTCGATGTAGAGGCAGTACATCAGAGGCGTACGAGCTAACACCGGTTTCTCAACTTTGCTCATAAAACAAATAGCGAGGACTGGAGCAGTCTTTGGCCCATAGCTAGTCCGCGTATCTGGGAATAGTATGTCCCAGACCATCTGAAGATGTTGCATCAGGCATTCGCTAATAAGAGCCATCGTGCGCACTTTGCCAAGTCCATACATATTTATGGTATTCACATACTTATCCAACAATTCCGCCAACGCTTGTAAAGCTTGGTCATTCTGCACATTAGTATAGAGTGATGTTACGTCGAACGACTCTATAACAGCGCTCGTGTCAAGCTTGGCGTTGTAAAGATTTTCGATGAATCTTTGTGAGTTGGGTAACTGTGCTGGTACCCTAGACGGCTCGCAATTTTGTTCAAAAACCATGAAATTCTATCGCTTGGACCGCCAACGCAACTGATTATAGGTCTTATTGTGTAAGTATCCGTTGACATTGAGTTCATGTCCTGCAAGGAAAGCTTATGCGTCTTTATAAGGCTGAAGAAGACTGGACAGCTTAAATTTGTAATCTTCAGCTTGTTAATAAATCTGTCTTGAAAACCTGCAGACTTTCCTATCGTAGTCCAAGTGTCGTTGAGTCTTCTATATTGGGTATGATATTCTTTCTCATCAACTACTCTATAAGTCGCTGTGTCTGCGAGGTGGGCTGCTGTTATACGGCGATGCAGTCTTTGCGGCATTATCACAAATTCTTCACCTTTATCGCTTACAGATAGACGCACGGAACCACTCGAAATGAGCTCACGTATCTCTCTGAAACCTCGCCACTCTTTAGGTGACAAATTGTTCTGGCATTGTCGTTTTAACTTAGTCAGCACTTCTAATATACCAGAAGACAAGATACGGAACTTCATGTCTACGTTCAATACTGGCTCTGGCTGTCTGTAGAAAGAGGATCTGTCTGTAGATGGAGGAAATGGAATCGCCGATAACCGATTTGACTCGTGAGCAGCTTTTATACGCCGCGATGGCAACCTTTGGAACCGCCTCGTTCTCCGCTGTCAGAAGGCATATAGCATATCTGAGATCCATTCAAGAAGGTGCGGTGAAGGGTGTCCTAGTGATTTTTGGAGATTTTCGAGTTTGCAACGTAAAAAATTCAAAAGTTTTGTAGATGAACATTTTATACGCCGTGATATGATAGTCACCTTTGGAACCGTCTCGTCCTCCGCTTTCGGAAAATATATACTTTGCCTGGGGTCCATTAGAAAAAGTGCCGGGTGAAGGGTGGGTGAGACTTTTATAATGGGAGTGCTCAAGCAGACCTCTTTACACAATGGTAAAAAAGCCTCCACTTGAGCTCCATTATAAAAGTCTCACCCACCATTCACCCGGCATTTTTTTAATCTATCCCACTCAAAGCATATATTTTCTGTAAGCGAAGAAAGAGGCGGTTCCAATGGTGGCTATTTCGGCGTAAAGGATATTCGTCTACAAAAGTTATGAATTTTTTAAGTTAAAAACTCGAAAATCTCCAAAAATCACTAGGCGCCCCCTTCACCCAGGCACTTTTTCCAACGGATCTCAGACAAGCTATATATTCTCTGAAAGCGAAGGGCAAGACGATTCCATGCTGACCATCTCCACATACTATCTGTTCATCTACAAAAGTTATGAATTTTTTTCTAAAACTCGAAAATGTCCATAAATCGCTACCCATACCCTTCAACGGGCACTTTTTGCAAAGACTTCATGCAAACTACATGTCCTCGGAAAGCGGAGGGCAAGGCGGTTCCGATGTTATCTATTTCTGCTTATAAGATCTTCATTTACAGAAGTTATGAATTTTTTTTATTCAAAAATTCGTAAATATTTAAAAATCACTACCCACGAGCTTCGCCAGGCACTCTTTTGAAGTGACTCCAAACAAACTTCCGCGCAAACTATATAGTTCCTGAAAGCGGATGAGAATATGGTTTTGAAAACAGTTTTCTTGCTGACGTTGCTGTTCATCTACAGAAGTTATAAATTTTTTCTTAAAATTTGTGAATGCTTAAAAATTGTCTACCTTTTCCCGAAACAGATGATCTGCATACACATCTTCTACTCTATGGCCTTTTCGAAAACAGACAGGATGTTTCCAGTCCTATTTCAGTCTTCACAAAAAAGATAGCAAATGATGGTAGAGAATTGATAAAACGTTGATTAGGGAGAATGATGAGAGAACACCATCACTCCCCTCCCCCCCCCCCTCGATCGACAGTTTACAATTCTCGATACAAGTGAAACACCCTTCACCCTGGAGGGGCTGTGATCACTGTGACCTCCTTCACCCTGGAGGAGTCATTCTCACCTTACCGCCTATGCTTCCATTGTCGACACAAACTGCAAGATAACATGCTAGCAAGTATCCAAGAAATCAGGATCCAAGGAAACCTACAATATATCGAGGACGAATCAATAATTGACTACACGATTGCAAGTGTCTCTAAAAACATCTCCAGAGATGTGCCATACCTTAAAGGCAGTGTCCGGGCAAAAAGTCGATTTTGAGATTTTGTGCTTAGCCGGGCCTATTCGCCATGCTGAATTCGAAAATCCACACTGGAAAGCGCGAAAATGGCGAAAAAGGGCTTTAACACAGGAGTGAAATCAAAAGTAGGCGGGGTCCTCCCCACGGTGGATTCACGGTCTCAGCTTCCGGAGCGATCTTTTCAATTCCGCTAACCTTCCTGACATCTCTACAGACCAAATGCAAACGCATGATCTGAAATCGGAAGCGAGAAGATCGCTCCGGAAGCTGGGACCGTGAATTCACCGTGAGGAAGACCTCGCGCCCTTTTGATTTCACGTCTACGTTAGAGCCCTTTTTGGCCTTTTCGCGTTTTCCAGTGTGGACTTTGGGATTCAGCATAGCGAATAGGCCCCAGTAAGCACAACATCTCAAAATCAACTTTTTGCCCGGACACTGCCTTTAAGACTCTATCAGAACATCTCTCTAACTCAAAACTAGTCTTCTTCGACTTTTTTACCTATCCTATCAAATTGATTTTACTAACGTTTGCCTTCTTTGTACTTGCCGTTATCCTATGCCGCTTCTGTGTCGCTTACTCTTATACAACTTATCGCTATTGCTACAAACGCTATTAGACAACATTCACGTTTCGAATCTTCTTTTCTCTGGAGATTTTTTGTACTTTTACAAAATAATAGATTTAGCTGTAACTGTCCTTGAGCTTTATTAACAATTCACCCCAGCCTATGAATCCGCTATACATTCCGCATTCTTCTAATAGCTTTGCTTAGTGTTTTGGAAGTGTACTGCCACGCTGTCACTTATCAACATTCAAAAATTAACCATTTCTCAGTGTTTCTACAAGTAGCTAACAGTAGCATCAAGTCTATCAACTGTAACATGAAGAATTGTAATGAGCGCTCCTCCGCTGCTCACGTCGCTCTTCACTCGGCACCCATACAAAAAAGCCGCCGTTTTCTCATAGTGGGTTTGGTATCTATCGAATAAACTCTACCGACAACTCCCATCGCACAACCAAAACGGTCAATGCCAAACACTTTTGTTAAAAGTTATTTTCACGTGAATTTCTATAGAATTTAGGGCAACATTTTTCAGAAATTTTCTCAACCGACGACTAGGTTGTGAACTCACGAAAGTTACTGGAGCTCAATAAAAAAGAGAATTCCGTTTGACTCTTGCGCAGGGTGTTGCTCACGAAATAGTTTATTTCGTTGAAGGCGCCGTCCACCAGGTTCTCGACCTCCATGTCTTCGTGAATTCGGGCCTTCTCATGCCCTTGATTCCGAACATGATGTAGATAGTCTCAAAACCCTGACAACTTTCGTTTTGGAGAACCCTCAGACCGGTTCCCACGAACGGTGATTGGATGGGGGCGCACGGAGTGGCGGGAGTTACTGGAGGGTTGGGGTCCTCATGCCTGTTCGCTATTTCGCAGCAGTTTTTTCGCCTTCGAACCGACATTTAGCGCCGCGACTTGGGCATTGGCTTGGTAGGGGTTCCTACTATCGTAAGCTGCCAAAAGCTCAAGATCCATAACTTACGGTAGGAGGTGCCTTTAAGAAGTGCCAAGCTTGCGCGCTGTCAGTCCTCCTGGAATGATATCCACGAAAGTCCATAATGGAGAAAAATGGACTTTCAAGCCCCATTTTATTCGTTCGCGGTAAAAATTGGTCGGAATCTGCTTTCGCTAGCGTTATCCAAAAAATTTTATCTCATCGCAACCGCGAGGCAAAGCGGTGTGATGGAAATGATTCAACCTTACCTGAGCTTTCGCTTGCGAAACAATCATGCGAAAAGTCCATTTACAATGGGGCATGGGATTTAGATACCTCCATTTTAAATGGACTTGAAAGCCCATTTTACTCCCAGCAGCAAGGTGAGCTGGGACTAAGCCCATTTTTGGCTTTTTTGCACATTTTTGATTGCGATTTTTTGAAAATGTGTTCCTTAGCCTATTTTAAGGTAACAAGTGAGTGGAAAAAGTTTTTATGTCTTTTATAAAGTCTGAAATACATGTTTCTTTCCAAAGTCATACAAACGCTATAAAAATCATGGAAGAAGGTTGAATTCACCAAAATGTTCGCTAACAAACTCATATGCCTTCAAATATCAAGTCGATACGAAAGTTCTTGTAAATCAAATAAAGTTTCATAACTCTTCAAAATCATCATCCAAAACTAAATTCATAGTTAGTAATTAAAAATAAAAAAGATTTGCGTTTCAGTAAAATTAGTCAGAAGCTATCTTTTGACTAATCTCGCAGAACCGAACCTTAAAGACGGCATTATAAACGCGATTTTGAGTTTGATCGCACTAACTACCAAAAATGCGCTAGCTAGCAAGAAAATTCTTGTGAGAAATTTCCTACTAGCAATAATCCATACACATAATCACTTAAAGATATAAACTTTAGTGCTGAGAGACAAATGAAGATCTAAAGTAGGAGATTTGCGAAGTCATCTCTTGCAGACTCATAGTTTTTCCGACTCAAAAAAACCATTGAGTTGTAGTGTACTCCAAGGTTTTCTATAAGATAAGCATTTTAATTCACAGATTGCAGCGCAAGTCTAGCCAAAGTTTGTTTTCCGCAGAGTGCTCTACAAACGAATTTGATTTAATGCGGATGCACAGAAGTCTCGAGAAGCGAATGCCCGGATATTATATGAATTTTATTCTTGGAGGTAATTTAGATGCAAGTCATCGATAATAAATGGTATTTTGTGAGGTGTAACGGTGTGGAAACGAATATAATATCTATGTGACTGACATTGCAATGTTGGGTCAGCCTAGTCAGATATCAACCACTTCCTGGGAATGAGTTTGCAAGAGTGAATAAACAGGTTGAGGCAAGGTGGAGAAAGGTTTGTTTCGGCATTTTTGCTTAGAATGAATGGATTCGCGAATGCGATATTTTATCGCACCGCATGGACTAAGTCCATTTTATTCGCACGAAAAGCCCATTTCGCGGGGACTTTCGTGGATATCATTCCTGGTCGTGTCATGGCGATCAGAATGATATAGGTTTATCACCCCGCGGAGGTCTAGAACCAGAACCAAATGCCCCGTCGGGGTGTAGGGCGATTCGACGACTGCAATGCTGTTCACTACCATCACCGCGCGCGACACACCCTGCAACGGCTTTTATCAAAGCAAAGCAGGACCAAGAGAGATTTGCGGCATGCTTGGCGTGCTGAGACAATTAAAATCAGGGCCACCCGTGCAAAAAACCGTCTATCCTCCCCCCCTCCCCGTCAGCTCTGATCTTTCTCCTCTGCTTGTCTGCGTCTCCTCGCGTTGCGCGCTACCTCGCTACCGCAAACGCGGGCCTGGGGGCATTTGGCTTGGTATCGTTTTCTTCTTTTCCTGGACTTAATTCTAGCACTATGTGCATTATACTGAATTCTTGATCTCTACTTTCGCCTCAACAACGTCGCAAAACCTCATTTCTTGGATTGAACTAAAAATGTGGCAACTACCATGTTTTTGAGAATTTTGTTTTTTTTTCAGTTTAGTTTTTTTCAAGCTATGTTTTACGCATTCGATAGATCTTGCTTCCAAAGATCGGTTCATAACTATACGAACACCCCATATTTTGCCTTTTTCCGGACTTTTCGAAAGATGTGCAAGGAATCATTGATAATATGTGAACGAGCGTAGCCGAAAACACTATACGCAGCACAAAAATGAAAATGGTGTCAATCTTGGACAAGCATAATGCGCCAAACACATTTTTGACCAGTTTATGTTTATACGAACACCTCAGTCAGAGCTCTTTTTCGCTTAGCGCTGCAACCACTGACATTCAAACTTTTATGTAAGTCTACGATCTAAAATCTGAGATACATACTATGCGCTGAACGAGTGTTTGAAAAGGGAAACTTTTTTCTACTTTTACAGCTCTAAATGGTTTCGGAACGAGCTTCGAAAATGCCGGTTTTACTGCGATTTCAAACTTTCATCCAGATCATGCGGATAAAGGATGAGGGATCCACAAATATGCAGTCTAGCGCTCAAAAAGCATTGATGCAAACGTACCAGTTGCCAACCCAGTCCCAAACTTACCACGGGGTTGGCACATTTTTAGTCGAAGCCCGACTTATGCCGTCCACAAAGTACTGTGATGAAGTTAATCCATCGTCTACATAATGATATATCTGTGCTAGAATTTTTGAAGTTTCCGCAAAGCTATATTCAAAGTTCCAGAGCTGAAAAGCAAGAGAGGGTTTGCCTGCGTTGATTTGCTTAATCATTTTCATTGAATGCCGATTGCGTGGTGAAAACCGTGTGCTCTAAGTTTGAATTTTTCAAATAAAATATAGAATCTTGTACATCACACACAAAATCACGTTTGCGAGACGTGCTCACAGCGTTACAGAATTTTTCGGATGGCAGAAGCTTTTCGGACGGCCTTGAAGCTCAAAAGTGTGCCAACCCTGTGGTAAGTTTGGAACTGGGTTGGCAAGTGGTAAGATTACATCAATGCTTTCTGAGCGCTAGAGTGCATATGTGTGGATCCCGCGGGGTGGGAGAGGAGAGGAGATGAGCGCTGCTTTCGCGTTGAAATTTCGGGGGTTCGAAGTGGCAGAGAAAGATCGAATTTTGGTCCATAAGTTCCATTATGGGGACTCCTACCATGTGACCTTGTTTTGCCACTGATCTCATTCTGCCGATCCACTGCCTTTAACGAAATAATGTCAGTCAACAATGTTTGATAGGCCCATTGTGCAAGATACTGGCACTGGTGTTTTCCCCTACCGTCGTACACGAAAGTGTAAGCATAATAAAAAAAACTCAGAAGCATAACAGCATCATTTTCGTAATTAGCGTCTCAAATAACCCCTTTGGGAAGTTTCAGCGAATTCTGAGGTTTCCAATATTGGGAAACTCGAGTGAGGTGGTCATTTTACATCTTAACTTTGTTTCAAAGGTGAGTAAACTCGTCCTTTTGCATTGATTACACAGTACTTTTTTTGATCACATTAGAATCCCATTTCAACTAGCCTCCGAAATTGAAAGTAGAAGCAAGCCAAAATTTAGTTTGTCCCAGTTTTCGTTCTCAATATCTCAAACTAGAAAAGGCCAATCAGGCACAAATCACTTTTGTGAAAGTTAAGATCAGTCTATCGAATATATTAGGTTGAACCGAAAGTTCTGTCCCTCCATCTTCAAAAAATCATAACTTCTTTCCGTCACGATGATTTCGCGCATTTCAAATTTTATTAGAAAGAGTAAAGCATGTAGTTTCCAAAAGTCTCCTGGAGACTTTCCAACATGCTCAGGTTGCAGAGATAAAAATGAAAGAACGAGATCATCCGAAATTCGGAATTTTTAAGCAAAAATTCTAACAATTCAGAAACTGTGCGATAAAATCCAGAACAGCCATTATCCTAAGTTTTCTTATATTTTATCACTAACTGAGTTAAGTTTGTGCTGATCGAGCTCTTTTTTCAAAAGTTATGATTTTTTTTAAAAAAATGCCGAAAAATCGATTTCTTAAGAATTCCTAGGAAAGTGATTTTTCGGCATTTTTTTTAAAAAAAATCATAACTTTTGAAAAAAGAGCTCGATCAGCACAAACTTAACTCAGTTAGTGATAAAATATAAGAAAACTTAGGATAATGGCTGTTCTGGATTTTATCGCACAGTTTCTGAATTGTTAGAATTTTTGCTTAAAAATTCCGAATTTCGGATGATCTCGTTCTTTCATTTTTATCTCTGCAACCTGAGCATGTTGGAAAGTCTCCAAGGGACTTTTGGAAACTACATGCTTTACTCTTTCTAATAAAATTTGAAATGCGCGAAATCATCGTGACGGAAAGAAGTTATGATTTTTTGAAGATGGAGGGACAGAACTTTCGGTTCAACCTAATACTTGTTCTTGCCACCTTCCCTCGCAATTCACGTAGTAGCCCAGACTTAGCATATTACCGTGATCCAATATTTTTGCAGTTTTCCATGTGCAT